GGGGTCAAATACGTAGTACGATGTTTGTCAGCCTTGCCTGAACGCGCGATAGAAGGCTCGGGATTGTTGAACGACATCATCAACAAATTACCTGTAGAACTACACGCCCCGCGTAACTGGAAATTCGATACGTACAACTTCTGCGGTCCAGGCACGAAGCTCGCTGAACGATTAGGTCGTGGTGACAAGGGTGTGAACCCTTTAGACGATGCGTGTAAACAGCACGACATATGGTACAGAGACCACCGGAAGCCCGAAGACAGATGGGTCGCAGATAAAGCGTTACAGAAAGCGGCGTGGGATAGAGTGACGTCTAGCGACGCGGACCTTAACGAGAGGAGCGTAGCCCTCGCGACCACGGGTGCGATGTGGTTGAAACGTAAACTAGGGATGGGTTTAGGTACATCCGCGTGTTCATATCCCTGTAGGAAAAAAATGGGTATATATAAGTGAACAGCATGGACAACGCTTGGCGAATCTTGTCCCGCGAACCGAAGGCACCGAACGGTGTACTCAACGACGAGCTCGTTATGAAGTTCGATAGGTACCTCAACTGGGACCTGTTGTCAGTTCACTATGATTTCTCCATCGATATGCTACGTATTTACTTTCATCGTGTTGACTGGGGTCCTATTCTGAAGAGGCAAAAATTCAGTGAGAGCTTCCTTCGTGAGATGGCACCAAACTTTGAGCATGCGTGGTTTGCTGTCAGCAAGCACCAAATACTTTCCGAGTCGTTCATACACGACTACGCAAACAAAGTCGATTGGGAATACATTAAAAAATTCCAGATCGTTTCGCAACAGTTTTTGGATGATCACAAAGCTTACATGGAAGAGGAGTTCGATGAGTAAGTCTATATATAACATGTAGTTAAAAAAATAAATAAAAATAATTAGCTTATACTTTTTTTTCTTGTGTGTTATTAAGTTATTGTAGACAATGGAAGCACTGTATGAACGTTTCTCCACCGGAGTGGTGAAAAGCGAGTACCGAGCTGTTATGCCGATATCCGAGTTGAATTTCAACACACCAAACAATTACACAATCTTCAAACTCGATCACGGAGACACGTTTTACGACTCGGCAATTCAATATCACATCTGCGGCGAGGTAGTAAAAAAATCCGATGGTAAAGCATATGATGCGACTGCCACTATAGCCCTTATTGACAATTTCATACCATACCTATTTACAAGAATCGAACTGAAAAAACACAACACAACAATCGATGTGGTCGATCATCCGGGAATTACAAGCACTATCAAAAGTATTCTAAACTATCCTCAATCGATGAAACCCGCTTTGCAAAACTGTGGGTTCGCATCAAGATACTCGCTTGGTGGTGGCAAGTTCGAAGCAATTGGAACCTTAGCGCATCTCGGGTTAGGGTTCTTTGACCACATGCGATACCCCATGTACAAAGGTGGATTCGAGATTGTATTCACAAGAGCTGAAGATAACGACGCTCTATACCATTGGAAAGGAACCGCTGCCGCAGCTACCGATCCTGAGGACGGCAAAGTGAAAATCACTTCCTTCGTTCTCAGAGTTCCCATAGTGGAATATACGTCAACTAGCAAAATCCAACTAATCGATGGTCTAACAAAACTTAGTGAAAAAGACGAGTTGGTCTACAACTATTATCAGTGGCAATGTATTGACAAAAAGGGTGTGTTCGGATCTACGTACACATTCGACATTACAAACGTTTATAGAAACGTATACAACCCTAGATTCGTAATCATGTGCTTTCAAACTAACCGCACGAATGATCAGAAAAAGAACCCAGCGCAATTTGACAGCGAAAATATAAAAAACTTTGCAGTTAAAATAAATGGTCAACGTTACCCTCAAGAACTACAAAACGCTGCAATCCTCGAGGGACGTTGGAGAGTGATTTACGAGCAATTCATGAGATATCGTAAGGTGAATTTCGATGACAGCTCAATGATCATTGACCCAAGCGAGTTTATTTCACACTACCCACTGTGTGTTGTCGACACACATCTTCATCCGATGAATACAGACCGTTCTAGAAGTGACATTCAAATAGAATTCGATTTCACAAACGCAATCGCATCACCATCAGCTGATTCAGGCACTACCGCATATGTCATCGTAGTCTCTGAAAACGCGTTTGCCTACGACATATCAAGGAACATAATCAAGGTAATGTAACTGCGCATTTATATAAGTGAGAGACATGGCACAATTGGTAGATTTGCTTAACGCGTGCCAAGCACCCAAATACACTAAAATCGAAGAGCTGCGACATGAGCATCCCTACAGAATAGTGGAGTTGCAGCGAGTCGTGACGAGATACGGTCCCTCGGTAACTGCTACTGTCGAAGAAGACCCTTGTGGCAATCTAAGAAAATTGTATCTCCCATGCAGGTACAACAACGTTTTGACAGACGTCATGATTAAAAACTACAACAACGGTGTCAACGAAAAACTTGCTTTGATACCCAAAAGCCATGGTCAGATCGAGTTTACAACAATAAACTAATATAACAGAAATAAAATACGCAAAATAACTGAAAAACACAAAAAAATATTTTTTCGCCTCCGAAGGATTGGCGTGGTCGGAACCACGTGCTGAGTCACTCAGAAGACACGTAAAAATCAACATGAAAACAATGAGTTTCAAATGGCGTGTCAGTATACATTGAGATCGAAATACTACATCTTCATACAAATCCTCTAGTGAAAACATGAGCACCGAATGATGCAATCGACGCCATTTTTGTGCAGTTGAGAACCTATTGGTGGTCCTATATAAAATGAGATTCAAAAGCTGTTGTCGTTTTCGATCTCAACCGTGAGATCCTATTATACGACAAGTATACCAAATGAGAACTGATTTAACGTTGCAATCGGCGTCATTTTTGTGCAGTTGAGAACCTATTGGTGGTCCTATATAAAATGAGATTCAAAAGCTATTGTCGTTTTCGATCTCAGCCGTGAGATATTATTATACGACAAGTATACCAAATGAGAACTGATTTAACGTTCTTTATATCTACACAAAAAAAAATTGTCATCCAAATCAGAGGATCAGTCTCTGTCTGTAAGATCATCCTCTGTTTACATGTGACGTCATGGACACACCTCCCTTCCCGACCTACCTCAACCCACGTGGTCTACACTCCTCCCTCCTCTGTCCTAGAACGTGAGTTTCAAATGGCGTGTCAGTATACATTGAGATCGAAATACTGCATCTTCATACAAATCCTCTAGTGAAAACATGAGCACCGAATGATGCAATCGGCGCCATTTTTGTGCAGTTGAGAACCTATTGGTGGTCCTATATAAAATGAGATTCAAAAGCTGTTGTCGTTTCTGTAAAGTCGTCCAAATCAGAGGATCAGTCTCTGCCTGTAAGGTTAGGTTAGGTTAGGCAAAGTGAGGTTACCTACCTCAACCCACGTGGTCTACACTCCTCCCTCCTCTGTCCTAGAACGTACAAAATGACTACTACTGCCAGTTGCACGACGTCCAATAGGGCCGGCCGCACACCTAATACAGCACGGCACGTCGAAACGTTCTCGCCGCGCCTTGCCATGCCTGATAGAGAAAAAATATAAACCTGAAATAATAATAAACTTGAAATAATATAAACCTAGGCGCCTTAAGGCAAAACGTCGCGCCGTGCCGCATCTGGTGTGCGCCCGGCCTAGCTCTACGCTGTTGCACATCGTTCAATAGCTCAACGCTGTTGCACAACGTCCAGAGCTCCTGCATATGGAGCAAGATTAGATTAGGTTAAGTTAGGTAAGGTTAGGTTAGCATGTACTACAGACGGCAAAACAATACTCACAGTGTGCTCTAGACGTCGTGGGACAGCGCTGAGCTATTGGACGTCATGCAACTGCTACTTTTTTAAAGAGTGTAAAGTGCACCGTTGCACGACGACCAATCCCATGACTTTCAGAGCTTGTAGAAAGACTATGTTTATTGTAGTTACTGTACAGTACTTTTGGACATAGTGGCACTAAGACGTCGTGCAATGCATCCTTTGAAAACCGGCTCCCGAAAATATTTCAAATCCGATTTTTAAATTTGTGTCTCAGGGTAGTTTTCGAATGTCTTGTTCTTCTTCGATCACATGGTGTACCAACCACAAAGTAAGAATAAGGAACCAAAATTGATTCATACCATATCATGACTATCCCAGTAGTACTTATGGTTGAGAAACCTGGCACTGACCGAAGAACAAAAAAACCTTATCGCTGGGTTTGAGAATAGAGTAGTGCAGAGAAAACATACGGACCAGTTCAAGATAATGGAGGTTGAGATAGGAAAGAACAGAGAGTAATAGAAATGTATAAACACCCAGATATAGGGGTACTTTCCAAAGGTAAAAGGCTCGGATGGGCAGGCTATGCGTGGTGAAGAGAAGACACATCAACTTTTAAAAGTGTACTTATTCCAAAGAGTACCACAAGATAGTAGATCACTTGGAAGACCAAGACCAATTATATGAAAGAAATCTCCAGAGTAGGATTTACATTAGAAGAGACAGGGGATAGAAGAGAATAGGAGGCTAGAATCCTTATAAGGTTTCAGTGGCCACGGAGATAAGATAAACTGTAAGTGATAGTATAAAGTGGAAGTTAGTTTGTAGCTACTGTACTCAAAACCAGTGTGTGTGAATCGGCCGCCAATCTTACTTCAAGGCTTTTAAAATTGACTCAATTGCTATTTAATAGTTAAATCATCGGGTTTAAAATGCATATCTTATAAGCCTTTAATCGGATGAAAGAAATAGGTGGTCCCGTACAATTTGTTTACAAGATGATTTTCCCCACTACAACTGCCAAAATTTGTCTTTATGTGTTCTCAATTATATTCAGTTTTAAATTGACTTCTCGTTTCCCATACATAGGACTGGCCAACAGCTTGTAATAACTTATACTTGAACTGGAAAGTGATACCAAGGGCCTTGATAATTTTGTAGAGCTAACTGTGTCAATACAAACTGTTGTGGTGTACAGATGTGGCATACGGAGCCGTAGTTACATTGAAGAACCACCGTACAGGGGGTGGGTATCTGCACTCCCACTGGCACCTTTACCCAGAGGGGATGGGAGCGAGACAACAACAGGTCAGTGGTACATGTCATATCAGCTGACTGATAATTATTTTACTAGGCTATTATTCGTTGTCTTTTACTCTTCTGGCTCGCCCCTTTCCTAGCTGGATAAGTTAACTGTACTGGCTCCCCCATTTCTTAGCTGGATAAGTTCACTGTACTGGCTCCCCCATTTCTTAGCTGGATAAGTTCACTGTACTGGCTCCCCCATTTCTTAGCTGGATAAGTTCACTGTACTGGCTCCCCCATTTCTTAGCTGGATAAGTTCACTTTATTGGCTCACCCCTTTCTTAGCTGGATAAGTTCACTGTACTGGCTCCCCAATTCTTAGCTGGATAAGTTCACTGTACTGGCCCACCCCTTTCTTAGCTGAATAAGTTCACTGTACAGGCTCCCCCATTTCTTAGCTGGATAAGTTCACTGTACTGGTTCACCCCTTCCTTTGCTGGATAAGTCCACTGTACTGGCTCACCCCTTTCCTAGCTGGATAAGTACACTGTACTGGCTCACCCCTTTCCTAGCTAGATAAGTTCACTGTACTGGCTCACCCCTTGCTTTTCTGGTAAAGATAGCTCTACTGGCTCACCCCTTGCTTTGCTGGGAAAGATAGCTTTACTGGCTCACCCCTTACTTTGCTGGATAAGTTCACTGTACTGGCTCTCCCCTTGATTTGATGAATAAGTTCACACACAGGTACCAAGCCTATGTGGACAGGCAAATGCAACGTTCAAAAAGGCCATCAAATTATATTAAAAGGTTCTTTTTAATAAGAGAAATTTGTACTGTCATCTACATGGTATACAAATTCGGATTTTATGAAAAAAGCCGGTTTTGATTAAAGTTAATTTGTCCTTATAATTCTAAACAAAATAGTGTAACCCCCCATTGCTGTAACAAATACGGTTCAAAATTTATTGCGACTTTTGTGATTTTCCTATGAAATATCATATTTTTCCCAACGCTTACCCAAAATAAAGGTTGTTGACAAGCTAATGAAAGTACCTATGTGTTAGTTTGCTGATACCGTTTATTTAAAATTTGAGATAGAAAGCCCTTCAGAGGCTCACACAAAAAGTAACCCTTGGTTTTTCTCACAGTTCACTCTTAGAAATCCTGAATTAAATAACGTACAGCTGATCTGAATCCCAAATACACCCGCCGCAGCAAACCTGCAGACTTAGCAAATTTCCATTTGTGTGATTGGATTTTCAATTAAATCTATTTAAATAATATTAGGTTGAACAAGTACCTAGGTTGGCTGCTACAGCAAGGGTTACCTGAGGTAACCTGTCCACCTACTGGCTCAAGTAAACACAGCCTAAAGGCAAATAACACAAAAAGTATCCAGCAAGCCTTTTTATCTGTTTAGTAAATTTACAAATTTAATATTTGAATTATTTATTTCAGAATTTTCGACATTGCCAGACATAAGCTTTATTAGTTATTTAGAAAAATATCTGAATTGTTTAAAACAGTTTCAAAGAATGATCAACTTACTTACTTACTTGTCTATCTTACTTCATGGGGCGTCACAAATCTCAGTTGATTTTTTGCCTCGTAGATTATCCTCCTCCACTCTTCTCTATCCTCCGCCATTCTTATCGTCCCTCCTCACTGGATCACATCGTTCTTGACTTGGTCATACCATCTTAATTTAGGCCAACAGACTTTTTCCTGTAGATATGGCCTCACAAGAATAATCATCTATCACAAATAAATTTATAATTTCATACCATAACTAATACTTAAGTAACTAATATTTAGTACTATGAAATGCTCAATTATATTGAAAGGACCCGGCACTATCAAATTAAGTCAACTAACCTGTTAAACGTATGACGCAGGACTGAGGGCGAACGTCAGTAGTGGGGACGCAACGTCATCTCCATATACAGTGCAGCCACCACAACTAACTAAAATATTATCTTGCTGATTCTTGATGTATTAATAATATATATTACAAATACAATTTATGTTATTGAGCCATTGTTTACAAATTCTCTATAAGACCCACCCTCATATTACAGGTAACCACATACACTCACAAGGACGAGAACAACAAATGGTTGATAAAGAAGTACAACTCGGATGTAGAAGTGGGCGAGGAAGATGTAGAATTGCTGAAGCATGGGGATCTAGTCAGGCTGGAACACGTTGTGACACGGCGGAACCTGCATTCTCATAGAGAACCTGCGCCTGTCACCAAGAAACACTTCCAAGTCACAGGCTACGGCGAGGTCAGTGACACCATGTCTTGTACTTTATGACTTTTTTCTAAAATGTAACCAAGCAATATTCTTCTCACTTAATAATGGATTTAATTTAATTATTTAAAAATTTACATCTTCTTAACATCTATTTAGGACTGGGAGGGTGGCGTCGTCCAGTAATCCAGCTACTAGGAGGCCACGAATTGTGGATACTCGTAGGCATGCACTGTGGATGTGATACTCCCTGGTGTGGATTAACGTCCGCACTAGTGAGCACTCCAGGGTGTCTACCAACCGGGAAATCCGGGAAAACAGGGAATTGTTCTTAAATTTTTACTGGCCATGAAATGTACGGGAATTGTCCTTAAATGCCAGACAATGTCCTTAAATTTTTAATGGGCCATAATTTTATTGATCGCTAGTTGGTTAGGAGCACATAAAAGGTTTATCAGATGTTTGTTTACATTTTCATAATTTATTACTAGAGTAATTATGCAATAAAAATCCCATTAACAATCTCAAACCCATTAATATTTTATCACGACAATCAAGTGTCAAGTCAAGTACTTCCAAGAACTGTTGACTCAGCAGCTAGCTCTTAAAAGTTGTATCACTTTTATTCCTTTACAACTTCTTTTTTTATTACTAGGGTAATTATTATTAGATCCCAAACCTATTTTATCATGAAAATAATACCGTAGCTTTATAATGGCTGTTAAATTTCACTTCTTACTTGTACTTTCGGCTTGAAGATTCAATTTGCCGCGGCCAGTGCCTAGTGCCATAAAACTGTTTATGGTTTCATATTAAACATGTAAATAATCTACAGTCTTATTTTGTAAGTTTACCCCTTTTTATGGACATTTTATCTTTCAATTGACAAAACCACAAGCATTGTTGTTTGCATTAATGTTTTATCACTATGTAGGCCTGCTTGGTTTCAAATTATGTCATTGCATTTTCTGTATCTTTGTCTTATATTGTTGGTTGGCTATTCAGGTTTCAATGTTTTTTGTTTCCCATATATTTATTTATTGAGTTGTATGCTTTAAGCAAACAAAATCTTATGAACTATAATGATGATAGTAACTTTGCTGCTATTATAACCTCATTGTTTGTTACTCAGTTTATATACGCCCTCCTAAATAATTAGGTTTAGGCCTGGGTATTTTGATTCTTGAAAGAGCTGTAAAATATATTAAGAAAATGTAATTGAGCCTAAGATAAACAACTAATGATTGCTATGTGTCGATATTAACTTTACAAATGAAAATACAATAATCTTACTCTGTGCTTATTGCTTATTAATAGCCGCTTACCATACCTTGATTTTGTACTAAGAATTGAGTAACAATATGCATTCAAGATTTTTTTTCAAAAGTTGAGAACCTAACGTTGTGCGAAAACGTTACGCAACGTGGGCGAATCATGCCAAATTAATCCGCCTGGATCGGATAAGCTATGTTTTGAAGTTTACGTGACGGATGGAGATATTTGTCGCTATCGCAGGAGGCAATGATTGCGTTTCTCCGTTACACTATAAAAGCTTTACCTAAAGTATAGGTAGGCCTATGTTTGTTTACTTTCAATAAATTTCTATTTTGTAATTTTTAACTCTTATCTATTACTATTTACTTTTCTCTCTGGTACAACTACAGTGAATAACAAGATTAATACAGTTTGACAAATCAGGAAAATTATTCGGTACGCCTAATGACACCGACAAAGGTTACGGCAAAGTGTCCTTAAATGTACGGGAATTGTCCATGAATTTTTTATCCAGAATGTAGTAGACACCCTGTGACTATCCGCAGTACTACCCTGATAATTAGACCAATTTGTTAATTACAAGGTAAAATTGTGGTTCGGATTCCACTATAAACTGTAGTTCCCTTAGTTGACATTTGCTGTAATGGGCTATTAATTAACCAGCTGTGTCTAAGGAATATCGAATATGTCGGCCTCAGTCACTAACAAGACTACAAGATCGCGCCACTCATCCTACACTCATCTCCATTCATACTTACTTACTTACTGCTGTGGCCACTGGTACCCTAGATGGTACTTGGCCTCCCCAACACACTGCCTCCATAGGTCTCTGCTTCTTGCATCTTCCTTCCTTCTCCCTAGCTTCCTCAGGTCTTTCTCCACTTGGTCGAACCATCTAAGTTTCGGTCTTCCAAGGGGTCTTCTACCTTCTGGGTTATTCCTCAAGATGTTCTTTGATAGGGAGTTGTCATCTTTTCTTAGAATATGCCCTGCCCATCTCAGTCTTCTGCTCCGTACCTCAGCGACAATATCCGGATCCTTAAATAATTCTCTAAGTTCCCAATTATGTCTCGATCTCCATTGTCCATCCTCAAAAATTGGTCCGTACACTTTCCTCAAAATCTTGTTCTCAAATACAATAGCTTTCCTTTCTGATTTCTTGCTTAAGATCCAATTTTCTGAACCATACAGGAGAACTGGTCTGATGATTGTCTTATAAATCCTGAGTTTGGTGGTGTGGGATATTATTTTTGAAGTCAGTAACTTGTGACAGGCCGAAAAACTTTTTTGTGCTAGGTTTAATCTATTTTGAATTTCTAGCTCTTCATCATTATCACTGGTGAGGATGACTCCTAAGTTACTGGTGGTTAATATCTGAGTGTCCTGGCACCCAGCAGAACGTAAGATCATTCCATTCATACTTGGCTTAAAATACCTACCTTCGTATGGTCACCATTTCAAAGTAAAGTATTAATACAGTAAAGTAGTTCGCCATCAGGTACCATTTTCCAACACAAGTAAGTTTTTTTTAAGTTTTAAATTACTTGATTAAAATCCTCACCAATCAACACAAAACAAATTTCAGCATAGTATATTTATGTCATTTTAAGTGACAGATTAAACTCTTAAAATCTGCTTTTTAGAACCCAACAACGTACGATAATAGACAAACTGTGGTTAATATTTTTGACAATGTAATAAAAAAAATACATTAGTACATACTTACATATACATACTTAAAATATATATCCTATAAGTTCCCCTGGATTGTTAGGTTTTAATGTTTTAAAGTTAGATAATCTATTAGTTTTATTGGATAGTTATATGGAATCAATTTTCTCACGTAAATTACAGAATGGTACAGGGGATGCCAACGATGTATGGATGGTTCAAGTTGTGGGTGGAGTTGAAGGAGAAGTCATTCACACTGTTACCAGTAAACTGAGATTTGTCCACTTCCTGCAACATTGTATTCTCACTACTAGCGGCAAACAATTGCCAAAGTGGTAAGCTCATTATGTTTTTATTTATATTAGTGACTAGTGGCCTATAGGGGCCATAGCCCCTAATTTAGACTACAATAAAAAAACCATATATAAAATGACAAATATTCGAAATAGGCCTATGTTTTTAAAATTATCAATTTTATGTTACTTAAAATTAACAGTGTTTTTTGTTTTATATCTTAGTTTTCCTTCCGTTGGAGTCGTATATTAGTTGCTTCTGATGTGTCAATGAAATACAATTGTAAAATAATGATTAAATCAATAACACAATATAATGGAAACGTGCACACGGTTTGGCCTGAGCCCGGAGAACTACGAATCAGAGCTGAAATCATACAGCAAAACATTGCACATCTTTTCTAGTTTAAAATTGAAGATTTGTTTTGTAATCTTACGAATTCACTTAAATTATTTGAAGAATCACATAAAAGTCATGGAGTTCGTAGGAGATCATAACCCATTTTTTAACAACTCACTACGCTTGCACAGCAATCAACAACAACAAAACAAAACATAAACAATTAACCATTTGCACACTCACTACAGCTGCTTCAGTTCAGTCCAGTCGGAGAGAAACAACATATAACGACGAAAATACAACGCTGTCAAGGGAAGTAAATAGGTACTACTGTTTTATTTGCTATGATTTAGTACTGGCAGGGTGTCGGGAATTAGTATTGAATTTCAAAATGGTCTTGAAAAGTCGGGATTTAGTATTTATTTTGATATAAAAGTTAAGGCTTCCAATGAATGCCTGTAGCTTCCCAATAAGTTCATCCTCGGGAAGATATCTTCCTCTAGCCAGATTAACAAAAGTTATCATTCTAGCATCAGAGAGCTCGTTACAATCAAAGATACGTGATTGGCTGTCTCTTCTGACCTATCACAGTGCCTACAGTAGGGTGGGCTGAAAAAAATGGATTTTTTTTTAAAGTTCTATTAGTGCGGAAAAGTTGCGAATCATACATAAAACAAAAAAGAAAAAAAATTATCAAAATCGGTAACATTTTCCGGTCGCGCATAGGCCCTAAAGTTTGAAAAATCACGTTTTCAAACGTTTGCTAGTTATCAGTTCTACAATTAGTTTGATTCTTCGTCTGTCAAGTCTCAAGAGGTCAGAGGCAACCTTCTTATAAGGCCTAAACAGCATGAGCTTGCTGACCCTAAGAAGGGGAGTGTCGACCCAGCGTTGGCGGTGCTTTTCTTTGGCCCATCATGCAATCGAAGAACATGCGCTGTTTCCTGAGATGCCACAGAAGGGTTGTGGGCCTATCATGGTTGTCGCAGAGGCAGTGTTTGCCAATCTGTCTGCAGCTTCATTATCTGAGTGTCCTGGCACCCAGCAGAACGTAAGATCATTTCTCCTACCCAACATTGACACAGAAGCAAGGCAGTCCCACTACGCCTTAACTTGTAAGGTCAATAAGAAAACAATTGTCTGGGGTGCGCAATAATTTGATTTTGGATGAAGTGCTTAAGGTCTCGACCTGCCCCTGTTAGATAAGATAAGATAAGGAAAAAGATATCAAAGTCGGGAATTTTCATAATTTTGCCGCGATCGCAGACAACGACGATGACATTTCCATGGCCGTGGGAGTCAATGATGATGTCTACACATGCTACACATGTCTACACGGTCGTGGGAAATGTTTATTATTTTTGCCGCAATTGCGGACGACGAGGATGACGTTTCTGTGACCGGGGTAGACGACGATGATGTCTACACAACCGCGGGAAATGTTCACGATTTTTCGGCATTCACGGACGACAATGATGACGTTTCCATTAAGCCTAGTTTACACTAGCATGTAGCAGTGGCGTCACTTGAACCGCGCAAGTTTTAGTGTTATGCCACTAGAGTTTACAAACAAAAATGAATTTGTTGGTCATGCCACTGTTACTGGCGCAACTAAGACGTCATCAGTAGGTTTCTTCCATACAAGTGGTAGTTTTGTTCGACCTCTTATAATTCTTCCCCAATTCACTTCTTCCCCAATTCACTTCTTCCCCAATTTGATTTTTCTTCCCTTTCGGATTTTTATTCTTCCTTATCTTTGTCTTTGATTTCTCTCATCTTCGACAGCATCACTACCTAATAATACCTGATTAAATTCTAACTCCACCATGATAGCAGAAACTTCTTTTTTATCACAAACACACTCACGAACACAAACACGTTGTTTACAGGAACACTGTCAGTGGAACTGGAGCTAAACGTCTGCAACTAAAAGTGGAGCCGCGGTTTACACGGACCACTAGAAGTGACGCGTCAAAACAGATGGCGCCTCACCGCTACTGACGCCACTAATATATGTCGGAACAAATATTAGTGGCGTCACTCCCAATGGCGCGTCACTGCACCTCTCCACTAAAAGTGGCGCGTCATTTGAGGTTTACACATTACATTTTTTGCGCCACTTTGAATCCAGTAAAAGTGACGCCACTGCTACATGCTAGTGTAAACTAGGCTTTACTGCGGGAGTCAATGATGATTTCTACTCGGCCGCGGGAAATATTCATAATTTAGCGGCGATCGCGGTCAACGACGATGACGTTTCCGAGACCGCGGGAGATGACGATGACGTTTCTGTGACCGCAGGAGACGATGATGCGATGTCTACACGGCCGCAGGAAATGTTCATGATTTGGCCGCAATTGCAGACGACGACGATGACATCTCCAAGACCGCGGGAGACTATGATGATGTCTACACATCATCATCGTCGTGGAAGATTTTCATCATTCAAAAAATCCAATTTGGCTAGTTGGATTTTTCCATTGCTGCATTTTTTCTTTACTTGAAAAAAACCCTATTACCAAAGACAGGGGTTGGTGTAGAATTTGAAAATTTTGTTAATTTATAAAATTTTGTATCGGTATCAAGAATTGAGAATCGATACATTTTGGTATCAACACATCACTAATTTTTGAAAAAAACTATTCTTGGAAAATCTGGAATTAGTCTTGAAAAGTCTGAAATTGGTCTTCAATTTTTAAATGGAAATAAATTAGACACCCTGACTGGGGATGTAACTTATCGATCGATAGCTTCGTTTGGTGATATCTTATGAATTGACTACTTTTAAATTGTAATATAATATTATGTATAGGCCTAGTGCCTCAGAATTTTTAATCATAAAAATTATCAATATTGATGAGTATATGAAACTGGAAAGAAAATGGGTGATTATTTACTCTTAAAATCGCTATAATAATATCATGTTTAGACTCTATTTTCTGAAAATTTTTATTTATTTTCATTTTAGTACAAAATTATTGTTATAAACAACAAATATTCAAAGTTTCAGTATTTGAGTACACAAGCATAATAAGAGTCACACACCACTGTGACGGATGATAGGGCAGTTCCCATTGTGCCCATAATGGTGAGTGAGCGTGCATTGGCAAAGGGTCGCTTAATTCTTCAGAGTCCATAGGGCTCCTGCCAAAGTATAGATGTTTAATGCTACTAGTACTGCACTGTCTTATTGTCACCATCCCATTGTCCGTTACAATTAGTACAGTTGTTTAATGCTACTAGTACTGCACTGTCTTATTCTCACCATAACTTTGTCCGTTACACTTAGTACAGTTGTTTAATGCTACTAGTACTGCACTGTCTTATTCTCACCATCCCTTTGTCTGTTACAATTAGTACAGTTGTTTAATGCTACTAGTTCTGCACTGACTTATTCTCACCATCCCTTTGTCTGTTACAATTAGTACAGTTGTTTAATGCTACTAGTACTGCACTGTCTTATTCTCACCATCCCTTTGTCTGTTACAATTAGTACAGTTGTTTAATGCTACTAGTGCTGCACTGACTTATTCTCAGCATCCCTTTGTCTGTTACAATTAGTACAGTTGTTTAATGCTACTAGTTCTGCACTGACTTATTCTCACCATCCCTTTGTCTGTTACAATTAGTACAGTTGTTTAATGCTACTAGTTCTGCACTGACTTATTCTCACCATCCCTTTGTCTGTTACAATTAGTACAGTTGTTTAATGCTACTAGTTCTGCACTGACTTATTCTCACCATCCCTTTGTCTGTTACAATTAGTACAGTTGTTTAATGCTACTAGTACTGCACTGTCTTATTCTCACCATAACTTTGTCCGTTACACTTAGTACAGTTGTTTAATGCTACTAGTACTGCACTGTCTTATTCTCAACATCCCTTTGTCTGTTACAATTAGTATAGTTGTTTAATGCTACTAGTACTGCACTGTCTTATTCTAAACATCCCTTTGTCTGTTACAATTAGAATAGTTGTTTAATGCTACTAGTTCTGCACTGCCTTATTCTCAACATCCCTTTGTCTGTTACAATTAGTATAGTTGTTTAATGCTACTAGTTCTGCACTGTCTTATTCTCAACATCCCTTTGTCTGTTACAATTAGTATAGTTGTTTAATGCTACTAGTACTGCACTGCCTTATTCTCACCATCCCTTTGTCTGTTACAATTAGTATAGTTGTTTAATGCTACTAGTACTGCACTGCCTTATTCTCAACATCCCTTTGCCTGTTACAATTAGTATAGTTGTTTAATGCTACTAGTACTGCACTGCCTTATTCTCAACATCCCTTTGCCTGTTACAATTAGTATAGTTGTTTAATGCTACTAGTTCTGCACTGTCTTATTCTCAACATCCCTTTGTCTGTTACAATTAGTATAGTTGTTTAATGCTACTAGTACTGCACTGCCTTATTCTCAACATCCCTTTGCCTGTTACAATTAGTATAGTTGTTTAATGCTACTAGTTCTGCACTGCCTTATTCTCAACATCCCTTTGTCAGTTACAATTAGTATAGTTGTTTAATGCTACTAGTTCTGCACTGCCTTATTCTCAACATCCCTTTGTCTGTTACAATTAGTATAGTTGTTTAATGCTACTAGTTCTGCACTGCCTTATTCTCAACATCCCTTTGTCTGTTACAATTAGTATAGTTGTTTAATGCTACTAGTACTGCACTGTCTTATTCTCAACATCCCTTTGTCTGTTACAATTAGTATAGTTGTTTAATGCTACTAGTTCTGCACTGTCTTATTCTCAACATCCCTTTGTCTGTTACAATTAGTATAGTTGTTTAATGCTACTAGTACTGCACTGCCTTATTCTCAACATCCCTTTGTCTGTTACAATTAGTATAGTTGTTTAATGCTACTAGTTCTGCACTGCCTTATTCTCAACATCCCTTTGTCAGTTACAATTAGTATAGTTGTTTAATGCTACTAGTTCTGCACTGCCTTATTCTCAACATCCCTTTGTCTGTTACAATTAGTATAGTTGTTTAATGCTACTAGTTCTGCACTGCCTTATTCTCAACATCCCTTTGTCTGTTACAATTAGTATAGTTGTTTAATGCTACTAGTTCTGCACTGCCTTATTCTCAACATCCCTTTGTCTGTTACAATTAGTATAGTTGTTTAATGCTACTAGTTCTGCACTGCCTTATTCTCAACATCCCTTTGTCTGTTACAATTAGTATAGTTGTTTAATGCTACTAGTACTGCACTGCCTTATTCTCAACATCCCTTTGTCTGTTACAATTAGTATAGTTGTTTAATGCTACTAGTTCTGCACTGCCTTATTCTCAACATCCCTTTGTCTGTTACAATTAGTATAGTTGTTTAATGCTACTAGTACTGCACTGCCTTATTCTCAACATCCCTTTGTCTGTTACAATTAGTATAGTTGTTTAATGCTACTAGTTCTGCACTGCCTTATTCTCAACATCCCTTTGTCTGTTACAATTAGTATAATTGTTTAATGCTACTAGTTCTGCACTGCCTTATTCTCAACATCCCTTTGTCTGTTACAATTAGTATAGTTGTTTAATGCTACTAGTTCTGCACTGCCTTATTCTCAACATCCCTTTGTCTGTTACAATTAGTATAGTTGTTTAATGCTACTAGTTCTGCACTGCCTTGTTCTCACCATCCCTTTGTCTGTTACACTTAGTACAGTTGTTTAATGCTACTAGTGCTGCACTGTCTTATTCTCACCATCCCTTTGTATGTTACAATTAGTATAGTTTTTTAATGCTACTAGTTCTGCACTGCCTTGTTCTCATCATCCCTTTGTCTGTTACAATTAGTATAGTTGTTTAATGCTACTAGTTCTGCACTGCCTTATTCTCACCATCCCTTTGTCTGTTACAATTAGTATAGTTGTTTAATGCTACTAGTGCTGCACTGCCTTATTCTCAACATCCCTTTGTCTGTTACAATTAGTATAGTTGTTTAATGCTACTAGTACTGCACTGCCTTATTCTCGACATCCCTTTGTCTGTTACAATTAGTATAGTTGTTTAATGCTACTAGTACTGCACTGCCTTATTCTCAACATCCCTTTGTCTGTTACAATTAGAATAGTTGTTTAATGCTACTAGTTCTGCACTGCCTTATTCTCAACATCCCTTTGTCTGTTACAATTAGTATAGTTGTTTAATGCTACTAGTTCTGCACTGCCTTATTCTCAACATCCCTTTGTCTGATACAATTAGTATAGTTGTTTAATGCTACTAGTACTGCACTGCCTTATTCTCAACATCCCTTTGTCAGTTACAATTAGTATAGTTGTTTAATGCTACTAGTTCTGCACTGCCTTATTCTCAACATACCTTTGTCAGTTACAATTAGTAGAGTTGTTTAATGTTACTAGTTCTGCACTGCCTTATTCTCAACATCCCTTTGTCTGTTACAATTAGTATAGTTGTTTAATGCTACTAGTTCTGCACTGCCTTATTCTCACCATCCCTTTGTCTGTTACAATTAGTACAGTTGTTTAATGCTACTACAGTAGAACTCCGATTATCCGAATCAATTGGGACCAGACCCCATTCGGATAATCAAAAATTCGGATAATCGGAGTTTTACAGGAATTCCGGGAAAAATTTCCAAGAAAAATCCTCATTTCCGGTACTAAATGAATTTTTAATTAATAATAAATTAAATCAGAACATTTTTACAGTATACAATGCTCTAAGCACAAGTGTTCTAAACTTGTTCTTAATAACAATTCTTTGATATTTTCCAAACCTTATTATTACTGTAGCTTTACATTATTAAAATTGTTGAAATAAGCGATTCCGATAATCAGCGATTCGGTTAATTGGAGTTCGGATAATTGGAGTTCTACTGTAGTTCTGCACTGCCTTATTCTCAAAATCCCTTTGTCTGTTACACTTAGTACAGTTGTTTAATGCTACTAGTGCTGCACTGTCTTATTCTCACCATCCCTTTGTCTGTTACAATTAGTATAGTGGTTTAATGCTACTAGTTCTGCACTGCCTTGTTCTCACCATCCCTTTGTCAGTTACAATTACGGAGGCTTAATCCCTAACTGCTATGTTAAGGATGGATGAGTGACAATTTTATTTTGTTCCAGGGCCTATGAACAGTCAGAAGTTTCTTGTAATCCAAATCTGAGAGACAAAAGTGCTGTTTGGAATGTTGAAGACAATATATTTGCAAAATGTAAGTACAACATTTTGTTGGACATTTATGTTGTACATTTTGTTGTGCATTTAATTAACTCATCTATTGTTAGAGGATTATTTCCTTCTAAATTAAAAATTTGCTAAAGTTAGTTATTCCTCTTTATAAAAATAATGATTCTTTAAAAATAACCAATTACCGTCCTCTTGCTATTACCCTTTTGCTTAAAAAAAGCTATTCATAATATGGCAGGAGTCGATCACATATCACACTGTAAGCAACTTTTTGTTAAAAGAAAACAATATGCGTTATTTATTAGGGGTGGGCGAGTAGTGATTTTTCAATTCGAGTCGAGTCGAGTATTTGAGTAAAAACTTGAGTATCGAGTCGAGTCGAGTAGTTGCACGTTAAGTAGGCCTAGGCCCAGGGTTTAAGCTGTGGTAGTATTTTTAGCATCTTGCTTTTCACAACTTAAAAATGCTAAGTTAAGTTCACATTGTTTGTTTTAAATGTTCAAGTTATTGAATAATATTTTTTCTACAGTTAAGTTAACTTAGTTTTTGTCTTTGCAGAGAGTTTGAAGCATTTTGCTGAAACAAATTTCATCCTAGCCTAAACCCTGCCTAGGCCTAAATAGGTAGTTTAAGTACTTATACCAAATTTTCTAAGTTATATGGTTACTAATTATTAGTACCTCCTGCCTTAGGCCTAATACAAAATTTGGCCTAGACTACTTGTTGGCTGCAGCATTAAATTATTTAGGCCTACACATAACTTGTTCTTGTGTGTTTTATTTTTTCTTGCCTTTAATTCCTCCTCACTAACATGATAATCAACCTAACTAACTAAATAAGGTATCTCTAAGAATTAATTTCAATTCAAATAAGAAACAGAATTTAAAAAAATAAATTTATTTATGAAACAGAAAACTAATATCAAACTACATATTGTATCACAAGTTAAAAACATAAATATGCAATTAGGTATTTAAAAATAATCACTTAGATAAGCACTTCATCTGTCTTAAGTTTGAAGGATATGGGTACTAGGGCTATCCTCTTCACTCAGTACATTTATAAAAATGATCAAGTCACTCGTCTCTGACAGACTGAAAATATCAAACAAAAACATAGTAGGCCTATTATCTCGAAATAAAATATCACATTAAACACTTAATTTAAAATAAAACACATTTCACTGTAGCCCGGTATAGCCTATTTGGCCTTTCTTTATAAACTCACATTTTCTAGGTTAAGTTACAATTCAAACTGTCGTTGTCATGTTTCTGCCACCAGATTGAAAATTGCACAATCAAAATCACAAACAGAATATGTTTATTTTACTTTCTATTAAACTTGCACTAACAAAATCAATTTTATTTTAAGCTACAAATTCACTTCAAAGTAAAAACATTCAAAACTGACATCGACATAACTTCAATCACTTCAATCCATTATTTTGTTGTTACGCCAGCTGTCACCATATCTGCTCTCTCTCTCTCTCACTCTCTCCTCTTTCTTTAGTCAGTCGGCTCATTCTGCTTCTGCTTTGTTTTCCCATCAAACAGCTGTTTTGTAGGGCTGACGTTGCCATATTTATCATTACACCATTATGGTGAATGTCGGTAAAATTATCACAAAATTGCTGTAGCTTTTATCTCGTAAAAAAATTAATAGTTTGACTAATTTTAATCATGTTTATGTAAACTGATTAGAAAATAAATTATACTTATAGTTTGTTTACGCCAATACCACAGTTGTAAAAGTACAACAATCATCGTCCATCTGGAAACACTGAGTTTAAAGTGGAACTGATCTTTTCTTTCTGCCAAGACCCAATGAGATTGTGTCATTCAGATGCATCGATGTTCCTTGCAGTAACTTATCGGCAGAGGTGCCCATCCCCCCCAAACCCAGAGGCGCAACCCCCCCCCCCCCAAGCCAAAGGAGTAGTCCCCCCCAATTTATGCTGCCGTCTATTTAAACCTACCCTCCACCTGCCAATGTATCTGGCAATTTCCCCTTTACCTCATAAAACGAGCATTTCAAGTATTTAGTAAACTTGAGGTAAAGAAAAACAAACCTGCTGATAATCAATATTAAATGTTTAATAGGAAACGTCATTTAACAATACATCATTATATCTAACTAACGGACAAATTAGAAGTTTTTCAATTTACAATTCAGAAACTGTACTTATTGTCAGCCAACATGTGCTCAATATACTCGGTGAATTACTCTACTCCAACACAGTATTGTAACTGTACAATGTATTAGGTGGCGTTAATTTTTACAGGGCTTAAGAATTCAAAACAGCTTTAAGAGCATTAATAATACTTTGACAAAAGGTATATGGTTTCAAAATTATAGGCAGAGAGTCACGAAATAGGGCAGACTTGTTGCTCGCCACTCCCAGGCTGCCTTCTACATAAATCGCCGGGCAAAATACACAAAATACCTTAATTGCCACTAGCACAAAAGGTTTTTGCGACGAAGTAATCTTATTATTCATTTTGATAGCCCCAGGATTGCCTTTTATGACTAATAGTGGTAGAAACACATCTTGTCAGACAATCCTTAATAATATATGTACGGTAGTGTCGTATTTTACTTGCTACATATGTTTTGGCGGTTCTTTAACATATTTAGACTTCCATATGTAACATACACCATCGTCAGACTTACAAAAGGATCGACTTCTGGAGGTGTCATCAGAATATGTTACAAACATTTAACACAAAACACGAAACGATAACAGATAGGCCTATCAATTCATGCAAGGACATTGCTGCGGGCAGGACTGGAAGTAAACTACTGAATCAGGTTATGACAGACCGACGTGGTCTCTGGATTGCCGTCTGCGTTTTCAACAGATAGTTAGGACTAATTGTAGTGACAGAGGAGAGTGTTGAAAATATAATGGGATTCATAATTGAGTTTTCCATTCAAAACTATTGACAATAATAACCAATTTTTATGCTGGATATAAATGATGGTCTCGAAATTCTACATTACTGCGTGAAAAGAAATTAATTAAATACTTTGGAAGAGTTTGGAATACCGGTATATAAATAAATAAAACTAGGGACAGCACACAATTTTTGAGTGAAAACACTCAATTAATTATGAATCCCATTATATTTTCAACACTCTTCTCAGTCACTACAACAATAGTCCAATATCAGCTGTTGAAAACGCACAAAACAGACAACAATCCAGAGACCACGTCGGTCCGTCATAACCTGAACTGATTCAGTTTTCTTCCAGTCCTGCCCGTGCCAATGTACTCTTGTGCATTGATAGGCATATCTGTAATCGTTTTGTGTTTTGTATTAAATGTTTGTAACGTATTCTGACAACACCTCCAGAAGTGGATCTTTTTAAAGGCCTAAGACTGACGATGGTGGAGTTAAAGAACCACCAAAACATATGTAGCAAGTAAAAGTCAGCGAACACAGAATAAAAAAAGTCGACACTAGTACATAATTAAGGATTGTCTGATAAGGTGCGTTTTACCATTCTTAGAAGCAATCTTAATTACGAATGGCAGAATGTTGTTGGTGTCGATAGTGAGCTACTTAGAAAAAGTTTTTCAGTCTGATTATACAAAATTCTACATTCATTATGACAACTAACAAAAAAATATTCCCCCCAAATTCTCCCTAAAGAAGTTCCCCCACAAAAATTCCTGTGGCGCAAATGCGCCACGGTCAAATGCGCCACGGTCCCCCCCTCTGGGCACCCCTGCTTATCGGTTTGTAAAACTAAACACCAATACCGATAATTGTGAAAAAATATTATGCTACAACAGGTTATTTTTATTTGTTGTATTTCTATATTTTGGTATAAAATAATTTGTTATTTCTATATTTTGGTATAAAATATTTTTATGGCAGTTCAAACTAAATCTGATACTGTACTCTATAATATCTTCAAGAATCGTCTGCCATTGTTATACTAGTCACGAGACTCCCTTGTTGACTATCGACTATTGCAATTCGATAGATTAATTCAATGCTTTATTTCAACTTACTGTATCGTTATCGAGACGTATTGTTGACTGTTGTAGGAAAGTGAAAGTCTGTTAGTAGTCTGAAATAATCCCTTAAATATGGTTTGTATTCTAATCTTACCTTAGTTTAAACAATAATAATTACGAGGACAGAGGTTTTAAAGTACAATGTTTAATGGTACATAAATGGTTAAAATAAGGTTACAAAAATTGTTCAGGGGTGGGGATTCGTGCTGGCTGAATCAAAAGATTTCGTTTATACCTAATTTAAATTTTTAATAAGTACGTTAAGTTATAAATTTAATAATCTTTTAAAAACAATAAATTAAATAGGAAGGATTTTGATTTTAATTAAGAGAGGTAAATTGGGTCCAAATGGATGCTTGAAGAGTAGTTTGAGTCAATAACTTAATAAAAATGGAATGATCTCACCAATCTTCTGTAATAATAATTTGCTTCTTAGCATATAGGCTTAAATTCTTCTTTCTTCAGTTAAATTTGGAAATTCTGACAATACTTTCTTTTATAATTTCGCAATTATTTTCACAATTAAGTTAATAGATTCTGTGTGTTCTTCTTGGATACTTTTATTGCACTGTCAGTCTCATTGTTGTACATCATTTCCAGTTATGGGGTTCACATAAATAAGAACATGGTTGAAATTAACTTGTAATCTTGACCCCAGATGCACTGTATTTTAAATGGAGGAATTGTTTTGAATAATAGTTTTGGATAAGCCAATGAATAAATTTTGATTATGAATTATATATATGTTGAGACAATACGGTTTTAATAATATTAACAATGAACATGAATAAGTATTGAAAATATAACTAGATTGAGTTTGGAATTTAAATAAGGACTATAATTATAAACATTGAATTTTGAGTCATTACAATATCCCCTCAGAAAATATGTTATTAAATTTTTAATAACATGTTTTCGCTAAATGACGAAAAATACATTTAATTTTATAACAGTAGATAACAAATATTGAGATGAAATTGAGTTGAAACAAAAATCTAACA